TCTTGAGAGGCAAGTCGACACGTCCTGATCGTTCACTGTCGAGCTCGATCGTTTGATATGATTTGGCGAGCTTCCCATCTGGAGAGATACCTCCCCAATAGCCTAATAAAGCATGCCATACGCCTACATGAAGGATATTGGGGTGGTTCTTTTTGATCCGTGAGACGGTGGCCTTCAGGCCATCCGGAAACCCCGCTGTATTGGCCTCGAAGTCGAGAAGGCTTCGCTGGAAAGGGTTGGCTCCTTCAGCATCGATTGATTGCCAATTATCATCTATAATGAGAGTCGAGATGTTGATGTCATTGCGGGCTAAATCGTCCAGGGCATTCAAAATGGTATTTTCTGTTAAATTTTGGCCCAAGCTGTTCCAGGTACCTGACGTTGCCGGTTAGGTATCAACATCTGAGAAGGGTTCCGTAGGAATAAAAGACGACTTACAGTATCCAAGGCCATCGTTCCATTTTTGGTACCATTGTGTTTTAACTTCGTCACCAGTTTTCGTCTGCTTTTCCGAGGCGGTGTATGGCTGTGATCTAAGCTTTCTAGAGTAGTATGTGACTGCAGCTACCGCATGGTTAAAATCTAAGCCTTCGGCAACCAAAATTGTGCATTCGCTTCTAGGATGATCTGCATCTGCGTCGCTTCGGCCCTTGGAGGTCTTAGTATTCCATTGAAATGAGTGCACACAATGGAGAAATCCGGGTCTTCTTACATAGGCCAAGAGGGCACCATTAGAATCCGACTGCAACACAGCAGTGACATTATCCACTGAGCTTACAGCCAGAAAGACTATATGTCTACCATCCGATCCGAGGAAGGCGCATAAGACGGCATCTTCTTGTAAAGCGAGTCGGCCTCGGCCTTGACGGGGCGCTATCCAAGGAGCTTTCTGCCGAACCAAGGCGAACCATCTGTTCGTAGATTAGTATGTAATCTGTATAAGAATCCAGTCAGAATTTATAGGGCATCTTTAATCTCCTCACCTAAGAGATGAGGCTGGAGGGGAAGCAATTCGAATGGTCCTTGTACCGGATACGTCATCTGTAGCCAACGGGATGCTCGCTTTGAGTGACCATAGTTGGGTCCCTGGAGATTCACTTAGACATCCTGTGACTTTCCATTCCGGGTTCAAATCACCGATGAAATCGCCAAGGTCCTTAGACTCGAGTTGGCTAACTTGTCGGACGATGATGCCATCATCGAATCCATGCTCATCGCGCACCCAGACCCATGGCGACCTGGGATTCTGACGGAACTTCAGTGTGAATTTCAGTGAACGTTGAAAATCCACAGGGACTTCATAAAACCGGTTGATCGTCTGAACTGAGACATCCTGTAGAATATGCGGCTCGTTGCGCTTGTCAACTTGACGAAAGGGGGCTTCACTCCAGCCCGATTCATCAATCGAGTGCCAAAGAAAGACTTCCCATTGGTCTTCTTTTTCATCGTGAGAAAATGTCTGAAGGACAAGACGGATGTTGATATGGCTATCTCCAACGGGAGTGGCCTGCCCTAGAGGAGGGTACGTTTGAAGAATGGGCTTCACGCTTTTGTGATCCTCTTTATTTGGAGAAGCCCCAGTTTTGGGTATGTACACAGCGTCGAAATCATCGTCATATCCAGCCATGTCTTTAGACGCCGTTGATATAGGGGTTCTCTATCAGATGTACTTGATGTTGAGCACAAAGTCAATTAAAATGAGGATTGGAGAAGTAGCATCGATTTAGTGGCTAAAAATGAAAGCAAAATCTGTGGAATAAGTCTGTTTCGAGTTCTTATAAATTAACGAGTAAAATGATGGATGGTTACAGTCATGCTGATTCAAAATAGGGCAACGTAAACAACGAGATGTTGCTGCCCAAGAAATACACGGGGCTCATGAGGGGAATGTGCTGAGTCATTGCAGCAGTAGCACACCAATAAGAGGTCGAGTGTTCCAAAAGGTGCAAGTGCCTGTTCATACCGCATCTCCTAGTATGCTGGAATTAAACCGATGTAGGGAATATCTCACCGTAAAAACCATGAGGACTGGAAATAAGGAAGATGAATGGTAAAAGTTAAGAGACGAAGTGGGTGAGAGATGAACCTCATTATACTTCGGTACTTGAATGATATGATCGTATGCATAAGTCTCAATACCGTATAATCCGACCAAATTGGTCTCTGACAAGCCCCAGTAAATCGAGTCCAGCTGCATATTAGATATACTTGTTGTTATATTGGCTTACAGAATGCTCCATGGTGGGTGGCATTGAAAATGACACATGGGAACGCTATGCCCAGCTTGTTTACATCGGTTCTAATTATTAGTTAATAAATATGACAGAGATAAGAGGTAATCAAGAAACTCTATCCCATTTATTGTGCTGATATTTGTTGTTCAATCTGTTAATTGTTTCTGCGGTTGCGCTAGAATCCTAGTTTGTATACTTGGTGTAAGCCGCCCACTCCAATGGTGTGTGGTGGGCTTGTCTCGACCGATCTTTCGAGATCATACGGTATGAGGAAACACAAGACAATGCATCGATCAATGTTGGACCGTAACCACAGCCACCATTCCGGAACGTCCACATCATCTACCGGCTCCTAAGTCCAGCAGCAAGACAGGTGGATGAGTTGGGCTCGAGCTCGGTGTGTCGCCCATATAATGTTCCGTTGTTGTTTCCGGAGACACGGCACCTTTTTTAGTGGCCTGGCGCACGATTATTTTTCGCGCTGTTCTGGTTGGCTGGAGTTCGGAGCTGATCGGGATGACTAAGCTCTTTTGGCCTCAGCTCCAAGGCTGCAAATTACCTCAGGAAAGCTTCTAGCCGAGCATGGAGGAAAGATTTCATCAAACAACTCAATTCCTCGTCAATCCCCCCCAACCTCCGCCATGGCGTCACGGAGACTAGCATTGAACCTTTCACAGGGTGTGCGAAACCGCGCCGGTTTCTCTGCCGCCAATTCCCTCCGACGAGGCTTCGCTACCCCCTCGGCCGTCGGCAAGACTCAGACCACGACCCTGAAGAACGGACTCACGGTAAGCTGCAATTGCGAGGAGCCAATTGGCTCCTGTAGCCCTGGTGAATCAAATTACTGATGTCTTTGCCTTCATTACAGGTTGCGACCGAGTACTCGCCATGGGCTCAGACCTCGACTGTCGGTGTCTGGATTGACGCCGGTTCGCGAGCCGAGACCGACGAGACCAGCGGCACCGCGCACTTCCTCGAGCATCTCGCCTTCAAGGTAAACCGTGCCGACGAAATTCTTCAACGACGACGCTCGGCTGACGAATCCACCTAGGGAACTGCCAAACGATCTCAGCACCAGTTGGAACTTGAGGTTGAGAACCTCGGTGGTCACCTGAACGCCTACACCTCTGTCAGTCACCGATCACCCGTTAAAACTCATGGATTGGGAGAGGATCACTAACCGTCCAATGTAGCGTGAAAACACCGTCTACTTCGCCAAGGCCTTCAACTCCGATGTTCCACAATTCGTCGACATTCTCTCCGACATCCTCCAGAACTCCAAGCTCGAAGAATCTGCCATTGAGCGTGAGCGTGACGTTATTCTCCGCGAGTCCGAGGAGGTCGAGAAGCAGGTTGAGGAGGTTGTCTTTGACCACCTTCATGCTACCGCTTTCCAGCAGCAACCTCTGGGCCGTACCATCCTCGGCCCCCGCGAGAACATCCGCGACATCACCCGCACCGAGCTCGTGAACTACATCAAGAACAACTACACCGCTGACCGCATGGTTCTCGTCGGTGCTGGCGGTGTTCCCCACGAGCAGCTCGTTGAGTTGGCTGAGAAGCACTTCTCTGGTCTCCCCAGCAAGGGCCCTGAGAACCAGGCCTACCTCTTGTCCAAGAAGAAGGCTGATTTCATCGGTTCCGATGTCCGTGTCCGTGATGACACCATGCCTACTGCCAACGTTGCCCTTGCCGTTGAGGGTGTCAGCTGGAGCTCCGACGACTACTTCACCGCTCTCGTCACTCAGGCTATCGTCGGCAACTACGACAAGGCTATGGGCAATGCCCCTCACCAGGGCAGCAAGCTCAGCGGGTTCGTTCACAAGCATGAGCTCGCCAACAGCTTCATGAGTTTCTCCACTAGCTACAGTGACACTGGGTAAGGGATTTGAAATGCCAAAACATCTTGTGAGAATCCGACCATGCTAACATAATCTAGTCTCTGGGGTATCTACCTTTCTACCGATAAGAAGACCCAGCTCGATGACCTCGTTCACTTCGCCATCCGCGAGTGGATGCGTCTCTGCAACAACGTGAGCGAGGCTGAGGTTGAGCGTGCCAAGGCCCAGCTCAAGGCTTCCATCCTCCTCTCTCTTGACGGCACCACCGCCGTTGCTGAGGACATTGGTCGCCAGATCATCACCACGGGCCGCCGCCTGCTGCCCATTGAGATTGAGAGCCGCATTAACGCCATCACTGAGAAGGATGTGATGGACTTCGCCAACCGCAAGCTGTGGGACAAGGACATTGCCATTAGCGCCGTTGGTCCCATCGAGGCTCTGTTCGACTACCAGAGACTGAGGAATACTATGAAGCCCAAGTTCTAAGGAGTTGTCGGTTGGTCGGAGTACGGAAAGTGAGGAGCTGGGTATAGAGTGTATGAGATACCGCTTACAGGCCTAGTGTACCATAAAATTTCCCTTGTTCATATAAGTTGGTTCGTGACTTGTAGACACAAACACATAATATCTCGGTGACTGGCTGAATTGTGGCAAAAAAAAACATATATATCATTGAACTCTTTTAAATGACCAGAGGTGAAAACCCATGTTCGTTCGCGCTAGCAACTTCCTCTTGGCTAGAGTATTTGTGAATATGCACTACCTATTCCGCATAAAAATTGAGTGTTGCTCCATTGGCTTTTTCTAGTGATGCCTTGGGTTTACCCTGAACGCCCGAAACTCCTGCCACCCGGTATCTTGAATGAAACTTTGAACCGCCTTGACGTGTCTGCCTGCTGCTTCCAGTGAGAATAGAAGTATTGGATCAATTGTCTTCTGCCATTTCTGCATCCACGTCTTCTCCAAAAACGTCATCAACCGTTCCGCCTTCGACAGGGTCTCCGCCTACATCCTCAGGCTCCGGCGCTTCAATGCCCTCCATCGCGTCACCTGACGAGTCATCATCGTCGTCGTCCTCACCATCTTCCTCCCACATGTCTTTTAAGCCCCAGCTGGCGCCGCTCAGAACAAAACGCTCGCTTGGGAGTCGTACACCCCACTCATTGGGGACTATTTTTGGAAGCGAAACCTTGTTGCGGTCTCGGGCAAGTTCTTGCATGTACTCTTTGCTGATACCGCCACCAGCACTTCCGCCGCGGAACTGGTAACTCAGCCGGGCACCGATCGCAAGTTTTACCGCATTGGCTGTTATGGGTGCCTCGCCGGGGGCTGCGGCTGTTGCGCCTGCAGAGGCCGAGGGCTTTGATCCTGCTTCCTTCACGTAAGGATCGGCAGCTAGATGAATCGCATCGTTGAGAACAGCAGACGTGTGGCGGTAGGCGAAGTCGAGAAGAAGGAGAGGCACGCGCTGCTCGTATGCAGTGACTCCCTGGGAATTTAAGAGGAGCTCTATAAGCCGAGCATCGCGCGGTCGGGGAGCTGAGGATACGGCAGGCGGAGCAGCATTGCCAGTCGTTGTCTGGGATTGAGTGACTGTGGTCGCGGTTGTTTGGGTGTTTAAGACGGTCTGCGAGTTTGTTGCAGACGTCGTCTGCGTCCCGTTGGGTTGAGACTGGCTCATTATCACATTCGTCGCGTGAAGCCGGTTTAGTCGCCTTGCATGTCAAGGAAGCTCTAGGCACGCTCAGACTTGCCGAGCTGATGCGACGTGCGAGCTGTGAGCCGGACTTTAGTTATTCCGATGGCACTCCGAACCCGCGCACGGACCAAACCTTAAAACTGTGCGGGCCAATTAGAAGGGCCGCGATTGTGTCCACCTACCACTGTCTCTTTTTCCGATGATACGTACCTCCGAAATATTTCCCAGCTTTTTGGAGGGGCAGGACGTGCCCCACCAAGATGCCGCCGATGAAGGAACCGGACCTGAAGACTCACCCAACTATCTTTTCTAGTTCCATGTCGCGCATTTCTACCATTGGAATCCAAAAGTCGTTCGTTTGTTCTGTCTAGCCATCAGACTCCTGGAGCAGCTTGAACAGAGACTCAATTGCTCTTCACCATGGAGGCGACTCTTCCCCTGCCATTCCTCGTCAGCGTCGCTGCTCCCGCAGGACTAGCAGAGCTTGAGGGGCTCAATCGTGAGGAGGTGTCTATTCTCGGCACACCCTTCTTCGAGGCCCAGCCTCAGATAGCAGAAAAGCTCTCTCGATTCCTTGGACGTCACAATCATGAGTTCTATGCCCACCTGGATGTAACCAGCCTCGACTCCCCTGATGAAATTGTTGCCATCCTAGATCGAGGAACACGCAGGGTCTTTGTTACACCACAAACTCTATCAGAATATACCGAATATGGCGCCCGAGTTCTTCCGGCGACTTCGTCTCTTGATCTTTCGGTCGCCTCTGAGCATGGTCTACTTATCAAGGAGTTCGATCCTTCCTCGGCCGAGGTCGAGAATTTCATTGCTGAGGCCAAATCAAAGAAAATCAGCAACCTCTACCTCAAGCCTGTCTCAAATGTTTCCATTGAAAAGTTAATCGAGGTAGCAAAGAGCTGTGATGCCATCCCAGTGCTACCCTCGACTGGTCTTACAACCGATGAGCAAGACAAGGATCGCGTCCAACTTTCAAAAGTGTTCGCTTCCTACTGGACATCTGACCGTGCAGATGGTTTGATTGCCACGGTCGTCACTGATGAAGCAGGTGTTGCATTGGGCTTGGCTTATTCAAGCAGCGAGAGCGTGCTGGAAGCTATTCGAAGGCAGGCTGGTGTTTACCAGAGCCGAAAGCGAGGTCTGTGGGTCAAGGGTCTTAGCTCTGGCGACACCCAGGAATTGGTTCGCGTTGCTCTTGACTGTGACAATGATACTTTGAAATTTACGGTTAGACAAAAGGGACGCTTCTGCCACCTGCCACAATTCAGCTGCTTTGGAGATCTGGGTGGAATTGTCGCTCTTGAGCAGACTCTCAAGTCTCGCAAAGAATCTGCCCCAGCAGGTTCATACACTGCGCGACTCTTTTCTGATGAAAAGCTGCTCAGAGCGAAGATCATGGAGGAGGCAGAAGAGCTCTGTGATGCCAAGACTCCTGAGGAGGTAGCATTTGAGGCTGCTGATCTCATTTACTTCGCCCTGACCAAGGCTGTCGGCTCGGGCGTCAGCCTGGCTGACATCGAGGCAAATCTGACTGCCAAGAGTTTGAAGGTGAAGAGGAGGACTGGAAACGCCAAGGGCAAGTGGGCTGAGAAGGAGGGTATCAAGACAGACGCACCTGCACCCGCAAAGCCTGCACCTGTAGTTGATACCACCAACGAGAGGATTGTGATGCAAAAGATTGACTCCTCGCAAACAAGCGAAGCAGAACTTCTTGAGAAGCTTAAGAGGCCATCCCAAAAATCACCCGACACTATCTTGAAGATCATCCACCCGATCATCGAAGAGGTTAAGAAGGGTGGTGACAAGGCAGTGCTCTCCTATACCCACAAGTTCGAAAAGGCTACGTCTCTGACTTCGCCTGTTCTAAAGGCCCCTTTCCCTAAGGAGCTCATGGATCTCTCACCAGAGACCATAAAGGCTATCGACAACTCCTTTGAGAATATTAAGAAATTCCACTCCGCCCAGGCCGAAGAGAAGCCTCTCAGGGTCGAGACCATGCCAGGTGTGGTGTGCAGCCGATTCTCTCGTCCCATCGAGAGAGTTGGTCTTTATATCCCTGGAGGTACTGCAGTCCTTCCCAGTACTGCTCTGATGCTTGGTGTCCCCGCTATGGTTGCCGGTTGTAAGAAGATCGTCTTCGCTTCTCCTCCTCGGTCAGATGGTAGGGTCACCCCTGAGATTGTCTACGTCGCCCACAAGGTCGGCGCTGAAAGCATCGTTCTTGCTGGTGGTGCTCAGGCTGTTGCCGCCATGGCGTATGGCACCGAGAGCGTCACCAAGGTCGACAAGATTCTCGGCCCCGGCAATCAGTTCGTTACAGCCGCCAAGATGCACGTTAGCAACGACACCAACGCCGGAGTCGGTATTGACATGCCTGCTGGTCCCTCCGAGGTTCTTGTCGTCGCTGATAAGGACTCCAACCCTGCATTTGTCGCTTCTGATCTGCTGTCTCAAGCGGAGCACGGTGTGGACAGCCAGGTCATCCTACTTGCCATTGACCTCAATGAGCAGCAGCTTCAAGCCATCGACGACGAGGTTCATAACCAGGCTCTTGCTCTCCCTCGAGTCGATATTGTCCGCGGCTCCATCAAGCACTCCGTCACAGTTCTCGTGAAGACTCTCGACGAGGCCATGCGAATCAGCAACGACTACGCGCCAGAGCACCTTATCCTTCAAATTAAGGATGCCGAGAAGGTGGTTGACAAGGTAATGAACGCCGGTAGTGTTTTCATCGGCGAGTGGACCCCTGAGAGTGTCGGTGATTATTCTGCCGGAGTCAATCACTCACTGCGTAAGTAAATCCCGGATACAGCCTTGCCTAGAGTTTTGCCTCCATACTAACAATACACTATTTAGCTACGTACGGTTTCGCCAAGCAGTACTCTGGAGTCAACCTGGGATCTTTCATGAAGCACATCACCAGCTCCAACCTTTCAGCAGAGGGTCTCCGCAACGTCGGTTCAGCCGTCATGCAACTTGCCAAGGTGGAGGAGCTCGAGGCTCACAGGAGAGCTGTCGAGATCCGCATCCAGCACATGGACAAGAAGTAGATGTGCAATTTTCTGGATAAAAAAAGAAAGAAAGAGGGGGTTGATTATCAGTTACAAGCAAGCTCGAGAATGAGCACATGTGAGTGATCTAGTCGGAGGATTAGATGGGAATCGGCGTATATTAGGATTGGAAAAAGTTAGAACAGTGGGAGCATAGGAATGCAAATAGAGAAATCTCATGATATGTCTATTATTCTAAGAGTATCTTGCAAGCGCTCGTCTCCAGCTCTGTACCTGGCACAATGTGTTCAAAATCATCAAAATCTCTTACAAACTAACAATGTTATTCCAAAACGCCGCGCTATGCCACAATGTTGAAATCGCTCTCGGTGTGGTGTATAAAGCCTCGGAGGCCGTGGTGTCCAATCTCGCTTGGGCCCTTCGCTTCTTCTATTTTGGCTCAAAATAGGATGACCAATGAGCGGTGCGGTCGATGAAGGCTAATCAACTTGAAACTTTTGGCCCTTTTGCCAAGGGGCAGGTCATGGTTTGTCTGCTGCCGTTCCCGTAGATATCTGTCCCCGCTTAGCATCACTGCTTAGCATCTTCTCCGATGGATAGATGACCAACCCCGGTGATAATTTCTGCGCTCACATCTTCTCTTGCGACTCGTTTTCGCTCGGGCGTAACCGTGGTGGATCGGTTGGCGTACTCCTGCACATCATCTTCGGAAGCATATGCATCATCTTCATCATCGTATTCTTCATCATCAGCATCTTCGTAAGCCTCCTCGGACGAGCGTCGAAGATTGGCCACGCTGTCGATGCTGTCACGAGGCGCTCCTTCATCATACGAGTCACGGGAAATATAGCTGTCGGCTAGGGCATCGTCACCTTCCTCGTCGTCATCTTCTGCATACAGACTCGCCTGGTCTGCTTCGTCCTCATCGACTTCGCTGGCTGAAAAGTCATCCAGTGGGAGTGGGTCATCCCTCCAGTACATAAAGTCGGTGTATGCCTCTCCTCCACCAGTCACCAAGGTGCTGACAGGTGGGAAGTAGTGGTCTACAACCTCGTTGATGTTGACATAGGTCATCTTTAGCTTATTAAGGGTCAAAAGATCAAGCGACACCTCCGAGTTGGAATTGATTGTGAAGATTCGGTTCCTGGGAACATCGACAGTTCTGTACGAGATCTGATCTGTCAAACGATTTCCAAATCCTGCGTAGAATGGACTGTGCTCCGGTCCATAAAGATTGCTGATGTCGCGAAGCGTAGCCATCTTGAACACCTGGGGTTGACGCAAGTAGACCTCTCGTCGCAATGCCGCCATTGTCCGGTCTGGGGATAGAATTGTTGGCCCGGCAGGCATCCGGCAACCTTCCTGAACGATGTTGCTCAAGTAGGCCCGAGTGGTATCGGCCTGTCCGACGGATCGACTCGTCAGATACATGATATTGTACCCGTTGGCAGAAATATCACTGTACAATTTCGCAATACCTGCGTGAGTCCAGTCGCGCCCTATCATGTTGAGAACATGGCCGAGGGCATCAGACTTGGTGATGGTGCCGTCGATGTCGGAAATCACCACGGGCGTTTCATGCTTCCACAGGTACATGTTAGCAGAGCATGTTGCCCTGTTCACTGTGAAGCTCATCGCATTTGGACCTGGCTGCAGATTGAGATCTTTGAGCTGCTCACTAGTCAACCGAAGAGTTTTGGCGTAGTTTCGGGTCGAATCGCCCGAAGGGATAGTTCCTGGGGGCGTTCTTGGGGGCGTTTGCATATCAGCCGGCCCAGCAGATTCTGCGCGCCTATGCGACGGAATCATGGATGCTGTGACATCGCTGCCATCGCTTTGGTACCCAGGATCCGAGGCGGCATCTGCAGCCACTCCATGTCCGTGGTGTGAAAGAGTGGACTCCATCGTCCTCTTCATAGCTGCCTTTCGTGCTTCCTCAGTACTGTAAATCCAAAGATTGCCCTCAGTGTCAAATCCGAAGAGAGATCCAATGTCATAGTTGCCGTCAAGCTCTTTGGAAAGAATATTCCTTGCCAATACCTCGGCACGAATCATCTCTTCTTCGCTGTTCTTGAAGCCCGACATGTCGAGCATGAGATCTCCGGTTTCGGTGACTATGCTGGGGATATTGACAGTTGCGAGTTCGCGCGAGAGGGCCATTGCCCGTTCGATGGCCTCACTTGGACTCAGCGGTGGAGGACTATGGGATCTATCGGAGGCGTTGCCGTTCTCTTCTTCCTCTTCGTCGCCCGATTTGTCTTCATCTCTCTCTTTCGATCGGGCTGAGTATCGAATCGCATCGTCGCTGTGATGTCGCGGTGCAGCGTCAGACCAATCACCCGAAGCAGGGCGTGCGGGCAGCAGGTTGGGGGACGCTGTAACAGGTGTGATCATGCCTAGAAGAAACATCAGTGGGAAATCCAGCTTGACCAGTCGCTCCACATACCATTGTCATCTGGCTGTGTCTGTAGGATGGCGTTAGGGGGCCTCTGGGGCGATGAGGGCTGGGAATCAAGCTCAAGTGTGTCGGGCTCTTTCAAATCCGGCGTAGAGGGATCAAGAGGAGGACTGCTTGCTGGCGACACTAACGGCGATGTTTGGAGGGACTGAGGAATATTTTCAGTTGTTTCGAAAACAAAAAAGGCCTCTCCTCCCACCCCAAGCTTCATGGAATATTCCTGCTTGACCCCGTTGACCTTGAACTCGACTTTCTTGTCACTGGGTCGGAGGAGAGAGAACTTGCCAAATCGCACATGGAATGGAGAACAGGCGAACGAGCCATCGTCTTGCTCGACAACAATGACATCGATGGCACCGCTAAGTGTAGCGGGGTTCAAGGAGTTCCATGCTGTCGAAACCGAGTCGCTCAAGTTTCTGACGTACTGCATTGTAACTCGTCAACGCCTTGTTAGAGCCGGGATCCAGGTAGTGAGTTGGCGCGCGCGCAGCTTGGAAGGTTGTTCGCCGCAGCGAAATAGAGTTTTCACAATGTCCAACCGGGCTACAGGCGAGGTGTCGGCAAAGCACACGCATCAAATGGTGAAGAATATAAATTTGGTTGAGCCGATGGCATGCGAAATGGTCTGAAGACCTTCCCACGTTTGTTGGGCGGCTGACAGCGGGTGAGCCAAGAGGGTCATACGTAATAATCGAGGACGTAGGTGCAGGGGTTACCGACGGGCCTCCTCCCAGACAAAACGGGGATCAACGATAGAGGACGTTATGCACACTCCATGAGGATGGGAGAGGATGCGAATCTTAAATCGGGCGAGGGAGGAAGTCTGGTGATGTTCAGGAGGGTGGGAACCGGGGCCAATTCGCTGCGTCAAGATGGATTACATGGACGGCACTGCATCAAGGGAGCTCACTCAATTTGATGTTGGGCTGGGGCGTGGCCCCTTCTGTTGAGCAGCGGCCAGCGACCAGCCACCCCACCGAAATCACCTACGGAATCAGGTCCATCCCAGTGCCACAGCAGCCTCTCGGTGGCTGCATGGCATGTGACACACATTCCCAGCGCTCGGCGGCCGGTAACCCGTGCTGATCACAAGCTGGATGACAGGCTGCGGAGGCAACGTGCAAAAGGGCAATTCCTTACTTGGTGCCTGGGCTGTCGCTGCTAGGATCAAAACGGCAAGCAGCGTTTCAGGGCCACAAAAACACATTTTTTCCGTGCTGCAGGGCCGAGGCTGACAATCATCGATTTCTTCAAGTCTCGGTCGGTAAGTAGCCTCCACCGCCTGTTGCTGAGATTATGGCCAGTTCATGCTGGCCCAGCCATTTTCATGTGCATGAAGCCAATGCGCTGTCCAATGCCCTAGGTGTCATGACAATATGCAGTGGGCCGGGCATTTTTACATCTCTGGATTCTTGATGCATTCATCTCGCTAATCGTAGCGGCTTTGATGCGCCTACAGGCTGATACATGAGCCCGCCGCCATCACGTTGTTCTTGACAACCTCCTACCCACTAAGGATCCAAGTGGTGATACACCCACAGTTGCAAGACCAGAAGCCGTTCTTTTCACCGAGAGTATTACCGGATTGACCGGGTCTCATCAAGTGAGGATTGACTCGGGATGTGGTATACGCAAGCTACTAGACAAATCCACACCCACCGGTAGGCAGCCAGAGTATGGTAAAGCAGCTACCTAGGTAGTTATGAGTCCACCACGTAACGTTTATTGCTATTGATCTGGCTGTTTGTATATGGGTAGTTGTCCCGAGGACCCTGCCCAGGAAACCAAGTATGTCGAGTAGGGAGATGCTATTCAATCCCTTTCATCTGCCAGAGTGAAGCACATGGGCTTTCCGGCAAGGCTACAGCGAATGCGGCAGCCTCCATCCGATCTAATGACACCGGTTAGCTGCCGTGAAAACCCTATCCACGGTTTCATCGCTAAGATGGCTGTTATTAGGCAAAGTTCCGCTGTCAACAGCCAGTCTCAATATTAGGTAATCGCCGTCCACCTCAACTCGTATTAGTAGTTCTTTCCCGAGCTGGCCTTGGTCACTTTATCTGTCAAAAACACAGCGCAAAAACTCAAAAAAACCCGTACATTGCATTCTTTAATACCGATCGAACGTTTTGGACTTGGGGAGCAGCAAGCAGACCATTTCATTCCCGCCCGTCTTCCTAATTCATTCCACCCACCATCAAGCATCGCTTCGCTCTCCTGCCGACCATTGGTGTTGACGTCCTGCAACACGAACCAGCCTTTATAAATAGCAGCCAGGCTTGTTGGTAGGGTACAGCCTACAGGTAAGGTAGTGGCTTTTTTGCTCCCGCTGGTGGTGCTGCTTCCCTACTGCTAGCCACCTCCGCATCTGTCCGCCAATCGCCTCGCCGCATTTCCATTTGGGGATCCATTGTGCCACTGCCAAGTCCTCGTTTTCTGCTGTTCTTCCACCTCCATCGCATCCTGCCCGCCTACCAACCGTGGAAGCATCCCCACGAATGCTGGATTTGTACGCGCGCGCATCTCCTGGGACCTCGAAGGTCGTCTACTCTCCCTGTGCCGTTGCATTGCGTGCGCTGAGAACATGTCATGGGAGTTATCGCTCTTAACCCTCATCGTCAGCGTCTTCAGCATCTGGACGATTCGTTCGAGCAATACGACCTCCGCCGTCCTGAAAGCAGTTGGGGTCGTCTTTTGCGCCTTGGCTTTTTATCCGGATCCCGTCCTCCTGATCCAGCATCTGTCCTCGACTGCCTTTCAAGGCTGGAACGACATTCGATTCGATGTGCTTCTCGTGACGCATTTTAGAATGGTCTTGACACTTGGCGCCGTGGTCTGGTAAGATGGAAAAAAATCCCCCCTCCTTTCCGAATACACGAAATCTCGGCAAGCCTTGTCTAACACCGGCCCGCGTCTCATCAGGTTACTGCATCGCTCGTGGCAGACCCTTTGGAAACCTGTGCCAGAGCTGATCAACATCCTCGGCGTTGACGTTCCCGAAGCCCCCGACGTCTCTCTTGCTGGTATCCGGGCAGATGCTGCTACTCTCACCTGGACCAAACCTCCTAATAACCGTCCGGTTCAAAAGTATTTGATACAGGTCAACGGAATCAATGGTAGGCTCCCTTCACCCGGGCTCCCCTCGACGCCTTCGCTGAACCTTTCGTTGTTATGTAGTTGGAGAATCACCCCACGATGAAACCGCGATCACGGTAACTGGCCTAAAGCCAAGTCATTTTTACAATATTCGCGTTGTTGCTATTGGCCAGAACAATTTCCAGGCTGCCAGCGATACCGTGCGGCTCAGGACATTCGGCAGCGATGGCAGGCCTTCCCTTGGCAATGCCCGGCTGCCGGCGAATTTTGTGGACGATGAGGATACCAAGCCACGAGGGAATGATGATGGGATTGGCTCAGAAGGCCGCGCGCCTTCATTCGCTGCTGCGGCTATCGAGACAGCGCCTCCTCTCGATGGAGCAGTAAATGCAACACGAGATATCCCGTCTACAGCGCCCGGCCAACGAAGAAATACCCTAAACCGTCGACACTCACCATCGGTAGCTAGCAGCGATCAGGCTTCGATTAGACAATTTGATACCGAAGGTCCCGAACCATCCCTCGACGAGCTGAATCATCGATTTCAGGAAATCCGTAAAGAGATTAATGATACTCTTTCACTCCAAGGCAAGGAAGAAGAGGAGTTTCTACAAACTGAAGAAGAGCTGCGGAAAGAAAAGGACGTCAAAAAGATGTCACTGAAAGAGAAGGAAGAGCAGACGGCTCAACTGAAATCTCTGGTTCGCACTACAATGGAGCAAATGCGAGCTGCCGAGAAAGAGAGAGCGAAGAAAGATCAACAGCTCAAGGATCGTGACAGTAAGAAATCCAAGGTCCGAGACAACGTATCCAAGCTCGAAAACGAGATTGAGAGGATGAGAAAGGAGTGCAGTAGCTTTCAAGATCAGAAGGCTAGTCTGAAGGAGAAGACAGATCAAGACATTTGTACCCTTAACCAGGAGATCACCACTCTTCAAGAGGAACACAATGAGCTTGAGGCGGACCTCAGCAATAAGGGAAAGCAGCTGAACGAGATGAAGGAAGCTCGGAAGCACCTCTCTGGGGCAGATGATGAGTTGATGCGGGAAAGTGATGAGAGAAGTCGCCGAGAGTGGGAGGTTGTTAGGAATACCTTGCACCATCGACTTGTTGAGGAGACCAAGGCTAGTCACCAACTGGATCAGCATTACCAGGCCCTGCTTGAACAGCTCAGCATTCATCATCATGCAGCATTCTTCAACCAGTCAGATGCACCACCTCTCGACTTTGATGATTCCGTCCCCGTCCAACAAAAACGCGAAAGCTATAATAGCAGCGAACCTAGGCTGTCACCTCCAACGCGTTTTGTTATGTCGGAGTCGGCTACTTCACTGCCTCCTGCGCTAGGGCGTCCAAGTTTTGGCCCAGTACTTTTTATTCCTAATGATGCAAATGACCCTCAGACAGAGGACGATTTGAAGACTACGGCCGGGCCTCTTAGTCCATCTGCGCATGCTTACCTACCTTCCGGCATCATCGACTTTGAAGGATCAGATAGTAAGGCTACGCAGACCCCTCTGCTTCCAGAGAGTGTCGCCGCAGGAGACGAAGTACCGCAATCTCCAGTCTCATCCAACCATTCACTGAGCATTTTCTCAAGTCCTCGTGAATCGTCGACCAACCTACCCTTCCCTTCATACCAAGACAATAGTGATCGTGGATCTCTGAATCTCAACTCGAGCCCAGCCGCCCCTCCAGCAAGTGGTCTGAGATTGGCTAGTCTCCTATCCGGATTTCGACGAGGTGAGGCAACCAAGGCTGATGATGAGGAGGGCCCACCGATTGGGAGCTTGAAGCCTGGACAAAGTCAGTCGTTCCCTCGTGGGACTGACGAAAGCGAATTGTTTGGCCGTCGACGGATGAGCTTCTCATTCAAAGGCCATCGTAATTCGACTGGTTTTGAAGGAAATCCGACCCAAATGTCGACAAGTTCAAAGATGTTCTCTAGGCGGCTCAATCCATTTGCCAGCTCAGCAAGCGCTATTTTCTCCGACCGTGATCCTCATCGTTCGCGACCTCCTTCTATTGCATCTGGATCTGATCTTCCCAGGCCTTCGACGGACAGTGGATCTATATGGGGGGCCCCTGGTGATGTTGCTACCATGGCCAAAAATCGGCTCTGGTCTCCAAACGAAGGCCGGTGGCCATCTCGAAGTGGCTCCCGTCGTCCTTCGATCCATGGCTCCCCCTCTGCTCTCACAACCTCGTTAGCATCCGCTGATGACGAGATTCTCTACGAAACTGAGCTACTTGACCCTCAAACATCCCCCAGTCAAGTTGGAGTTATCGGATCTCGTCCCCCCGGAGCATCCAAGTCAATTAGTCAGCGACTGAATCCTAATGCGCCTACATTCAAGGGCCTCTTCCGCAAAGATAAGGACAAAGATCGAGCCAAGGACAAGGCGAAAGATGCCAAGGGGAAAGGCAAGGAAGCCTTATCTCCCACCGTGGATTCACCCACAGGCCCTGACGAGTCGCCGTCTGATTCGCGCTTATCCCGTGACACATTCTCAGTTCACACCCAAACATCTGTTTCCGAGTCCCATGAATCACTTCCTCTTGAGGGATCGAGCTCCAACACCAACCTCGAGATGAACAGCAGTCTTTCAAAGGACTCCGACAGCGTGAACGGTATTAGGAAACTGTTGCGAAAAGGGAGCTCAAGCAAGTTCAGCCTTTCAAGCAGACTGGGTAAAGACTCGAGTCTGTTCAAGAAGGGCCCAGGCAGTGCTACAAACTCGGACAGGAATGCGTCGGCGGACCATCGATCAAGCATTGGTGATTTGGATGAGCTTGGAGAAGAGCACGCCCCATTGGGACGCAGCTACGATAGTGTAACGAGCAGCCCATCTCTTGCGCCATCCAAGTCCAAGGACGCTAAGGAGAGCCGGATAAGCAATTGGCGGTTTATGAAGAAGAAAGGCAAGGACGCTTCAAGTAAGGAGAAGGAGAGCGTTGAAATAGACCGCTCCCTTGATGAGGAATAAGCAGTTGGCTAGCACTGCCATCTGTATATACCTACACATATTCTTAGGATATTGGTCCTCAGTCCAGCGAAAAACAGTGTTAGCCATAGTGGTATCGAAAAGAAACTCTCCCAAGCTATCTATGATTGATTGTGAATCACAGAGCTATCCGTGTTGGGTAAGGCATCTCGTGTACACGTATTCCAGGCCCCTTGTGACTAAAGAGGTGGTGTTGCCATACTTCAGAAGAGCTGATAGGAGAACCGGGCCCAGCATTCGACCTCTAACATCCCTCAAGATAGTTCGTGACCTTTGTGATATATCTCATGAGGGGTCGCATTGCGGCAAACTTGGGAGGGCACCAATGGCGCCAAGACGTTGAAGTAACGGTACATGCAAGTAACATTGGCGAGGAAGCAGATAAAAATACCCTTTATCCGGTGAACCCTGATGGGCAGAAGGCTAATTATGAGAGAATTTGTCTCATTCATTATCTATCCATTCACAGGCCGTCGCGATCCCTCGTGGGGTTTGATTTTGGATAAACTCTCTATCCTGGCTCTATAGCGTACGAGGAAGCTCCCCGAACAGAAGTCACTGCATCGAATCCCTCCAAGAACAGTTGAGACTAGGTACCCCTTGCAATTCTAAATAAGCTTATGTGCAAGGTAAAATCGACGGGGCAGTGCCCAACTCTCCAAATGCGTGCGGGCACGTGGGTGGTCCAGCCCAAGTCTATTGGGGAATACCAACCATCCTCGCAGTTGTTTGATCCATGAGCAATGGATGGGCTCAAGACGTGAAGGCCAAGGCTGCCAGGGCTGCATGTAGAAACATCCATCTGTGTAAAGCTAGACGGTCCGCGGCCTTGAATTGGGATGTTCCGGATTATCCGCCGAGCGTTCCTGGCATCGACACTCGCGCTGCTATCCGTCAAACCCATCATATCATGATCAGCGTAGCAGTTTGGTGGACTCGACGCAACCTTGTGCAGAAACCTCTCATTTGCTCCAAGCGAGCCACTGGTGGCGATGATCCCCTTGGTTATACAATGCCGAGAATGGAATCGATATTGCCCTCGCCAAACTCGGAAGTTGAGCGTTCCACTTGCTGCAGTGTGAATGTAACTGCATCATGGTGGATGGGGTTTGAACATAAAAGACACGAATGTCTTTCAAGCCTTCAAGAGGAATAGAGTCTGAACACTCTCTCCTTGGATCTTGTAAGTCGTCACTCGTCTTGGTCACGTCGAGTGTAAGATACGGTCCTTGATTCCTCGCTTCGCCGATGAACTATCTCTTCATTTACTTCCAATCGACATGAAGGCTTCAGCTGCGCTCGCTGGCACCTTTGCCACCCTGACCTTGGGTGCTACTCAGCCCAAGAGCTTGATATTTATAGGTCCTGATGGTTTCGGCGGTGCGTATGAGAAATATTTTCAAATTGACCGTGACTAACTTGTTCCATTCGTCCAAGGCTCTGGGCAAACTCTTGCAAGGACTTACGTGTCATTGACTGAGGGAGAGTCTACTCCGGGTGCTCCCTCAATCAAGGATCTCCCTGGAGATCTTTTGGTATGTATCCAAGCTCTTTGGAGTATCGATTTACATCATGGGCAAGATGCTTACTCCTTGCTCCAAAAGCCGGTGGGAAATGTGCGAACTCACTCCAGCAACAGCCTCGTTACTGATTCTGCTGCCGCCGGCACAGCCCTTGCAACCGGCTTCAAGACGCAGAACGGAATGATCGGAGTTCAGCCTGATGGGAGCCTGGTTGGTAACATCCTCGAGGCCGCTAAACTCAACGGATACCGTACAGCAATCGTTGTCACGTCGACTGCAAACCACGCTACTCCTGCCAGTAAGTAGTTATCATTCTGGAAGAGGGGAGGAGACTGCCCTGACATTGATCTCTAGGTTTTTCCGCTCATATCACAAGCCGTAACGACTACGACGGCATTGCGGCCCAGCAGCTGGGCTACTCTCACCCCCTTAACCAGAGCGTTGACATCCTCATGGGTGGAGGTCGTTGCTACTACAAGCCCAAGTCTGACTCTGGTTCCTGCCGTGGAGACGATGTCGACCTTATTAAGTTTGCCCGGGAGAAGGGCTACTACGTGGCCCAGAATCGCTCGCAGTTCGACGATCTCGAACTCGGTCTGGGCTCTATTCGTCTTCCATTCGTCGGTCTCTTCAATGACGACCAGCTGAGCTACGAGGTCGATCGTAAGGCTCAGGCCGAAGATGTCCGTGAGCCTTCTCTGTCCGAGATGACCACCACAGCCCTGAACGCCCTTCACCGTGCCACTAGCTCCAAGAAAAAGGGGTACTTTATGTTGATCGAGGCATCTCGCATTGACCACGCCGCCCATGACCACGACTCCGGTGCCCACCTCTGGGATACGCTGGAATACAACCAAGTCCTCGATATCGTCAAGACTTGGATCGACGACCACCCCGACACTGCCATGATGTCAGTTGCAGACCATGAGACTGGGGGGCTTACCCTGCCTTCAGGCTACGACCCACGACGCCTCAAGGACGTGAAGCAATCTGCGGCGCACCTCAGGGGTCTCTGGGACAAATACGACGGCGACGACCGACGACACTTCCTCGTTCGTGAGATCCTCCCTGCCTACGCGCTCTCCGATGCCACCGACGACGAGATCGAGCCAATCCTCGCTGGTAACTTCATAGCTAACCTGGCGAAATTTTTGAACGGTCGCATCGGCGTTGAGTGGTCTACGGGCGGCCATACTGCTGTTGATACTGTTCTGTATTCATACGGGGCGGGAGAGATGGGCGATGAGCTTAAGAAGACCCTTGCCGGTCACTGGGACAATACCGATATTCCCAGATTGATGGAGAAGGCTCTACAAGTCAGCATGGATGAGGTTACTGAGCTGCTTCGTGCCGCCTAAGGAGTTGGGGTATTTTCCGGTTGGTTGTGTTTGCTTCACAAGTGTCACAGTCTTTGGACTGTCGCACCGACTACAGTGTGCGAGTTGTTTATCGGAGATAGTTAGTGCAATATAGTCAGATAAATGAAGTAATTTCATAAAGTGAAAGCTCAACGGTTTATCCAAAATTAACTGCATTGACTGTATGAGTAATACTATACTACGCTTAGGCTGATGCGTCCTCCTTCTTAAACAGAGCCTCTGTGCGGCCAATACTCTGAGCGTCAAAGTACGGCCGCTCTCCTAGACTGACAGAGCGCGAACCAGTCCTCTCCCCATTATTGGAGAAGATGTAATCGGGAGTGGCCGCGTGGTACACCGACCGGTTATCCCAGATGGCCAGATCATTGACGTTCTGCCACCTGTGGCGGACCTGCAGGTCGTGGTTCTCGACGATGAGCTGGACGAACCAGTCGAGGAAGTGCTTCGACTCGGCCTCGCTCAGCCCGTTGATCTTCTGGACGTGGTGGCCCACCGCGAAGACGCTCTTCCAGCCCGTCACGGGGTTCGTGCGGATGACGGGGTGGATCGCCTCGAGGAGCTCGCCCACGTTCTCGGGCGCGCCTCGCTCGGCGCTGTACAGCTTGAAGCCGTTGCGCTCCGCCGACTCGTTGAAGCCTGGCTGGGCGTAGGTCGCCGTGAGGGTGTCGAGGAAGCGCTGGAGGGGCTTCGAGATGCGGTCGTAGACCTCGTAGCCGGATGCCCAGAGGGTGTCTGTTAGGTGGAGCGATTGTCAGTACGTTCTGGTCGATATGTGAAAACCAATACAATGAGAGCTGAGAAGAAATAGGGATGCATACCTCCGCCAGTGGTTGGGAGCTCGGTCAGACGAAGCAGCGCATAGTCACTGGGAATGGGCTCGAAAGTAATATCAGAGTGCCACTGCCCCTTTTGGGATTGCTTCCTGGCTCCAAAGTTCTCCGAGTAGTGCTTCTTGGCTAGGACTGATGAAATGACACTGATTTCATCGTCACCTACAACCCCGCGGCCGGAGTTGGCCACGGGATGAATGTGCAGCTTGCTCGTTGAAGGCTTGCCAGATAGCTCTCCAAGACGCTGGACAAGTTGCTTCTGGAGGTCGTTTGTGACGTCGTCCTGCTTGCGGAAGAACACCACACCTCTTTGGGAGACTACACGATTGTAAGTTTTTTTTTTTTACCTTCTTGGTGGTAGTGAGAATGACAGAGCATACCAGTAATAGCGAGGTCACGTAGGAGCTCATCCGAATTGGGAGCGTTGAGGAACTCTGCTAGGTTGACATTCACATATTCTCGACCAATGACTGGAGTCACGTCGAAATGCTCATACTTGTCAAGGGCACCGCTAAGTTTGAGAGGTTCCTTGTGGCCGGTCCGGAGCTCAGGGAGCTCTTCATCCACAGGGACGGCTGCTCCCTCAAAGCTGAGCTGAGCACGGCCAGACGACACAGGGAGGGCCTTCTTCACTTGGATAGGCTCCGAGGCCTCCTTTGAAGTCGTTTCTGTAGCCGAAGGAGACATTGGGTGAGATGGGAAGAATAAGATGTGAGTTATAAGTTGCAACACTCGGTTGAAAGGCAATCTTGCAATGGATGAGATCTGAAGAAGATGTTTTGTCTATGGTATAATAACCCGGACACTCTTGGCGACGGAAGATGGTATCTCTTTATACACGAACCTCCTGAACGCAATGCGGTTCTCGGCACCACACAAGTCCAATGGCGCCATCATCGAGATGCACACAGCCATTCGTTTGCCAGGAAACTACTACCAGGATGACAAACCCAAGATGCGAAAGCCGCAGCCAAGATGGCGTTGATGGCAATGCGGGGGAGACAACCGGAGAGCGATGCAGGGCATGTCATGTAAGTGTGGTGGACGATCAATCAGAGCCGCCGAGGATGGCATCAGCCCTCCACCACGGTGGTGCAATATTCGCCATAGATTATCGCCTCGGCCTTGATTGGGCCACGCGTCTGTGTTAGATGGCTGACGCGACTTGCTTGAGGTATGAGACTATACAGGATGAAATATGATCCATCCTATTGGTCATTGTTCCATGTTGTTGCAACTCTTGGTAGCTT